TCCCACACCTGATGAAAACTTGGAGTTAACTCAACATAACCATTACACTCTTGGATCAATCATCCCTAACACACATACTCACTTAATGTACTGTAGATCGATCAACGCTTATATACTAGTTTCTGCTAATACACATTCTCAGATTGCTCATTACCAGCTTAACAAACACATCACTAACAAACACTGGTTTACAAAAATCTGTATTCTGCCATTGAACTATGCAATAAGCTAACTGAATAGTAATACTTTGTGTCAGGGCCGGAGTGGGACTCCTTTTCAGCCCTGGAGTTTCAAGCCTTCGACCGGCCCATCTCAGTTCACGACTGACGATATTAAAATAACGTCATTTCCAATTCAGATTCTTATGACACGATCACATCTTTTTCACAATGTCCTTTCCTGCAATATCTGAATATACAGTTGAAGTCAGAATTATTAGCCCCCCTTTGATTTTTTTTTACGTTTTTAAAAAAATTTCTCAAATGATGTTTAACAGAGCAAGCAAATTTTCACAGTATGTCTGATAATATTTTTTCTTCTGGAGAAAGTCTGAAAAAAAATATCTAGTCAAATATTATTTACTGCCATCATAACAAAGATAAAATAAATCAGTTATTAGAGATGAGTTATTAAAACTATTATGTTTAGAAATGTGTTGAAAAAAATCTTCTCTCCGTTAAACAGAAATTAGAGAAAAAATAAACAGGGGGGTGTAATAATTCTGACTTTAACTGTATATTCTGTGCAAAATTCTTTATAGTTATCCAGTCCTTTTTTTAACAGTGGTCACACAAAAAATCTAAATCAAATATGAACACCTACATAAGTAACCCAAACAGTATTATATGTCTTAACACTAAAAATAAATAAAATGAAATAAATAACTGAGGTGAGGTTTGAACTCAGGTCAGCAGCATCATAACGCAACGTGCTGACCACTGGACCACAATGACGCTGTTAGGCTAGTGTGTTTGGAATCTTTTTTTTTTTTCTCTGCCCTTTTTAGATTTCTGATCAAGTTATGTCAGATGATTAATGTAGTTAATCATCTGATTTTCATTGAGCAGGTGTAATATTCATAAATATTAATTATTCTTATATTCACTAAGGTGCCGCTGTTTGGGGTTGAATGATAGTTACGTCATCATTAACCTGCAGGCTGCATTTTTCTCGAGTGGCTGCGAGAAAATAAAAAGAGCGGAACAACGATCAAATAATGAATAAAAAAGTGAGGCTATGGTCAAATAAATAAATAAATGAAAAAAGTGTGACTGCTGAGAGTGCAAGCAGCTAGAGACACCAGCCCTCCAAAAAAATGGACCGGCCCATCGGGAATTCTCCTGGTCCTCCTGATTAGCCAATCCAGGCCTGCTTTGTGTTAGGAGTTAACTATAAAAAATAGTGCTCTTATAATGCAACACACATAGCAAATTTGTTTCTTTTTTTTACAACATTTTAAATTAATGCACAAAATCTAGTAGAAAAGTATAGACGACTATTGTCAGAGTGAGGTTTCTTTAAAAATGAAACATATAAATAAAATTGTAGTTCCAATGAAAAGTGTAATATTTTTCAACATTAACGATAAGAAAAGTTTTTTATAATGGTGGTTTCTAGATCACACTGCAAAAAATGTTGGGTTCCGCACAATCCCTTCATCTTGCAACCCAGGCTCATTCAGAAAGCGTTGCATACATTTCTTGAGAGCGCCAAATATGTCCCAGGAGCTACGTTTATTTGTTGTTGTTTTTTGCAGTTTTTGTTTTCACAGTGTTTGCGCAGTGTATGAGTGTAAATGAGTGTGTATGGGCATCCTCTGCTTAAAACATGTGCTGGATAAGTTGGCGGTTCATTCCGCTGTGGCGACCCCAGATTAATAAAGGGACTAAGCCGAAAAGAAAATGAATGAATGAATTATTAAAAGCTAGACAGCAACATTGCTGTATTTTAATTTACTCTTCAGTGGCAAATTTGACTTGCATTTGGCGAGTATTAATTATTTTAAACTGTTTGCAGCTTTGTACAGTAGATATACAGCAAATATGCAGGAATAAAAAAAAGAATAATCATTAAAAAAAAAAACTGCGTTTATGAAGTGTGCTTCATACAGGTGAGTGGGCTAGATAAACCACATGTAGAAATTCTCTATCTCTCCCCCTTACTCTAGCACTTAATTCTTGGAGCATTGACAGTTCCTTTGTATAATAAGCACTCCTTGTATGTATTGCTTCTTCTTGTTAAATTGCTGAATGCCTTCTCAATTGTTAGTTGCTTTAGACAAAAGTGTCTGCTAAATGACTAGATGTAAATGTATCTGTATAGCAACAGAATATGATTACAAAGGTGTTTCGCCAGGACTTTCTGCGTAAAAGTAACACTTGCTTGAGCAAGCAAAACATAGCCTATGGAGCTTTAAAATGTTCTTTAATAGCACCAGGCAGCAAGCCCTGTTTGTAACCTCTTTATTTATTATGGTAAAGGACTGAACTCTTCATCTGCAGTTGGGGGTGGACTACTGTAGTTGGCATAATTTCTGTATGAGAGAGGGTCAAACTGGGCCAGTGTGTGCATTAGATGTCTTTGTGACTGCTGGATTCACTCTCTCTCTCTCTCTCTCTGTCTTTACAGACTGGAAACCCTGCAGACATTGCGCTCTTCGCCTGCTTTCTCTAACTATGCAATGCACCCACTGCCACAGGCAACAAGACACTCGGAGATGGAGAATTAGGCCAGAAAGTAGATGGAAGAGCAGATTTGATGCTCTCTGACCTCAACTTTCCATAGGAATAATATTCCAATATCCCAAATAATAGTGTTTAAACACTATTTTGTGTGTGTCTGTGTGTAAAAACATTAAAACACATTTAATTAAACTTTTTTTCCAGTTATTATGTATTATAAGTGTCCATGCATACAATTAAAACAGTTTTAAGTGATTTCAGTGCAAACAGTAATGTCAGTAATGTTACATTTAAGTTTGAAGGCAACCCAACTCAATGCACAGTATATAGCACAACTAATTTACCCTTGACCTAAATTCTAAAATAACTACTAAATCAAAAAAATGTTTTACAGAATATATATTTTAAATATATCTTTAATTTGTGAATACACTATAAACCATATTTTCTGTATTTTGTGAATATATTTGTCATACATGCTTTTAATTACACTTTAAGACCTTGATATACATTGTATATAGCAGGGGTTTTCAAACTGTGGGTCGTGACCAAGCGGCAACCTCCCACTCTCCCTCAGGAAGCCAATACGGAAGTAACTAAAACTGCAATTCATCCGAAATTCCGCTAGTCTTGGCCGCTCTTGGCTCCAAAACAGAGCAAATTTCAATTGAGCCCACTGTTAGAATGGCCAACTATACAGCAGAAAAAAAGGTGTTTACAGCCTGGTACAAAAAAAGATTTTGGTCAATACAGCTAATATTACCCTTCATGACAACTGTGAGGGGGTGAATTTTTTTATAACTCATCCGTTTCCTTTATATTAAGTTATATTAAGTTTGCATAATTAAGGGCGTGGTCACTTGAGTGACAGCTAGGTCTCGCTGGTCGCCATTACGTCACCTCAGCTGAATCCTGCAGATTAGCCACTGAACTCGGGATATTTATCGTATTTCTGTGTTGTTTTATGTGGCTTTACACAGTCAACTGCCTTTTGGACTTGTTTCCTACAATTATTAGATGGCATGGCATGCTGAGTGCACTTAATTGTGCTCACAAACCATTCACGTGGCCTCCGTTTCCCATGTGAGTAAAGTTATATACTTATATACCATCTCTATACATGTATTTGTTTTATTTAAGATCATTTATCATTTATATTTATATTTAGAGCTGTAATGCACTCCAGAATCTGACAGATTGATTAGCTGTAGGCTCTAGAACAGTCATCTGAAGCGTTGTCATACAGTAGTATGCTGGATTTCATCAATAGTCTTGCATTTACTAACACAGACTATATCTGAAGTGTTTGGAAGTAATTCGCGTTTTCCTTATGTTGAAAAACATCTTAAGAACAATGTTTAGTGGCTCAATGTATTACAGCAGTGTTTTTAAAAGACTAAACACTTTCTTGATATAGTATACGACCAAGTGGTCAGAATACAAATGAGTCACAGATGATTAAGGCGTTCTCCCAAAGTAAAGTGTGTCTGAACCAGGTCCAAGCAAAATGCCAGCGGTGGAAGTTTACTCCGCTCACTCTCCGCCTCTTTGCCCTTGTTTGGTATCCCGCTGTGGGTGTGATGACGCGCGACCAAAATGGCGACGGTTGGCCGCGCCTACTTGTGGCTTCTTTTGCGCTCTTCAAAAACCTATGGGTGACGTCACGGACACTACGTCCATATATTTTACAGTCTATGGTCGTGACCCCCTACTGGGTCGCACAGTGAGGAAAGGTGGGACGCAACGTCACTTAGCTGCAGCTATATTTATGTTAAGTGAATCAAAACTAGTATGATAACGAGCAAACGACTCTTTAGAGATGATTCTGTTTTTCAAACGAATCATTTAAGTTAAAGCACATGAGCTCAAACAGTCTGAATCTGAAGTCTGAAAATGGAAAAGTTCTTAAACTAAAGGTGTCACAGACTTCTGATACATCTTCACATCAGACCAAATCTAAAAAGGAGCCACACAGAAATATCATCAGTTCTACCTCGATCTTGGTTTTATTGCCGGCGGAGGTCAAGAAGATAAGGAAGTCCTAAAATGTATTTCATGCTTAGAAAATCTTGCTAGCGACACCTAACAATAAAACATACTGCATATGTGAACAAAGATCTTATTCTCTTCTAAAAAAGAAGAGTATCTTTGTCAAAAAAACGTATTAGTTACAGCCAGCATATTGGCCATATCTAAAATATACAGCATTTACACCTCACATTCAAATTAACTTTGTGACTCTAAATACAAGTGAACAACGCAAAATAGATTAAACAAAGCTGCTACAAAAAATATTAAAGTAACATGCAAAGAACTCACCAGTATTGAGGTCATCACAGCAGACTTCAATTGAATCAGAGGAGCAGTCGCTGAAATCATCCACAGATATGTCTTCCTGAATCTGAAGCCTTTATTGAACATAATAAAAAAAAACAATTAAAAACTTTAGACACTGCGTCTGTTCTTTCCAAGAGCATCATAAGCAAAAATCAACTTAGCTTGTTGAAAATATGTAGCAAACATTTCATAAAACATCAACCTAGAAAATCAGTCATTTCATAATTAAAATCAACCCAGGCATATTCTGAACACGTACTGCTATGTACATATCTGGAGAGCACCAAATACGTCCCAGGAGCTGCACTTTTTTGCCGTTTTTGTTTTCGTGAATCCACCAGGAGCTGCTGTGTATGCTTTTTGAGAATTCAAATTTCTGTCACGAGTGCAATACAGGCGTACATCCACCAGAGGCCGCTATTAACTGACTGACTGAATGACTGACTGATCGACTAACCCACCTTCCTCCTTCCATAAACCCAACCAATAGTGTTTTCAAAAGCACCGATTGACCCAACCACCCACCTCCCTAAGCCCAACCGACAGCAGGCCAAACTGGTAAGCCTCCATACAGTAAGCCTTCAGCTGGTAAGCACGAAAAGGAACGGCGTCATACCACCCTGTAGCGTTCATTTTAAAGACGAAATGCAGACATACGTACTTCTGGCTACATACTTTGCGATCTCCAGAAATGTATGTAGGGCTACGTTTTCAGAATGAGCCTATATTGATTATAGTTTATTCATGTTAACCATTACCAAACTAGTAATAACAATCTGAAAATTTGCAACATTTAGTGTTACTTTCAGTCAGGTGCTTTTTCACTGTAACGCCTGGTTTATATTCAGTTACAGTAACATGGCAGTCGCCTTGATGCCAGTGTATCCTGTGCCCACCGGGTGTCCACAGCACTGAGTCATTAGAGCAGATAATTCAGAGGGTGTTCACGCTGGCAGGAGAAGCTTTTTAAGCATCTACTGTGTCCCAATTCCCCGCAGGCATTCAGAGGGCAAGAGTGACACCGTCTCTGAGAGCGGGACAGAAACTTAAACCGCATGACTGATTCGCCACTGGAAAGATTACCAGTGGAAAAGGAGGCTAATCTGTCAGCGTAAGTGACGGACTGTCATACTTGTCAAAACTAGACGAAACGAGAAAAAAAAGACTGAGAGTGAGGCTAAAAAGAGCGAGCTGGGCATATATAAACACAAGGACAGATAGAGGGATGATAAATTATGCAGCAGCACAATTCAATCACTACAATAGTAACAAACCATGTAATACGATAAGTGAACAGTCCAAGGAAGACGTTATTCAATTTATTGCACACTAGCTTGGTAAATGAAAAATCCTCACCTAATATGAACGTAAAATAATCCTAGCGCACATCGAATGGTCTTGATGTATCTATCCTAAGTTAATAACTCGTCATTCATTCATTTTCTTGTCGGCTTAGTCCCTTTATTATTAATCCGGGGTCGCCACCGCAGAATGAACTGCCAACTTATCCAGGAAGTTTTTTTTTTTATGCAGCGGATGCCCTTCCAGCCGCAACCCATCTCTGGGAAACATCCACACACACACTCATACACTACGGACAATTTAGCCTACTCAATTCACCTGTACCGCATGTCTTTGGACTGTGCATGGGGGAAACCGGAGTACCCGGAGGAAACCCACATGAACGCAGGGAGAACATGCAAACTCCACATAGAAACGCCAACTGAGGCAAGGATCGAACCAGCGATCCAGCAACCTTCTTGCTGTGAGGCGAACATGCTGCCCACTGCGCCACTGTGTCGATTTAATAACTAGTCAAGTTTAGTAATTCCGAGGTCTAGCACAGATGAGATTAGTGGGCATTACTTCTGGCTACACTGTCAAATTTGCTTATTCAGGTTTAAAAGTCAACTTGCAGAACAATTTGATTGGGGGTGCCCAGTCCTGCTCATTGAGATCTACTGTGTTTATCCCAGCTCCAAGACACTTGCCTGTATTCATCAATAGTTCCTGAACATTATGATTAGCTGGTTTGATTATGGTTGAAGCCACTTAGATCTCTAGAAAAGGGACTGGACACCCCTATTTCGGTGGTACACTCTCATAAATAAAGGTACGCAAGCTGTCACTGGGGTGGTGCCTTTTCCAAAGGTACAAATTTGTACCTAAAAGTTCCATATTAATCCCTCAAGGGTACACATTAGTAGTTTAAAAAGTACAAAAGTGTTTCTTTCAAAAATTGTAGGTACTAATATATACTTCTGAGGTATCAATACGGACCCTTCAAGTACAAATGTGTACCTTTTAAAAAGGTACCACCCCAGTGACAGCTCTCGTACCTTTATTTCCAAGAGTGTATTTCCAAACTTATTGGAACTTATTGGAACATCCCTGTACTTTGCACCCTTGCAAGGTCAGAAACTACAACAGGTAGAACATATTACAACCCTAAAGTTCTAAAATGTATCTTTTGAGTGTAAATAAAACACAAATAGCTTCCATTTTCCCAGAAGCTGGCATTAACTGCTGTATCCCTTAAACAGGAACTGTCAAATTCCATTCCTGTAATTCAGCTTCATCCTTAATTCACACACACCCAAAAATAAAACTCATGCCTTTTAGGATTGTTTAAATATTTTAGACAGCCATGCCTCATTAAGGTTGGAGCAAAACCTAGAAGGACTTGACTCTTAAAGTCTGATTCATACTTTTGCATTGAGAGATTGCCGTGCCATATGCCGCATACTTTGCAAGCAATTAATGCCATTTTGAGCATTTATACTTCTGTGTTCTCTAATATAACACTTCTGAAGTGCTAGTAGGCAGTGGGGTTTTAAATTTTTCTCTGTGTTGAGTTTCTGTCAGGATTCTGCCACTTCAGTCTTGTTAATTCTTGTTTGTGGTGGCAGAGTCCAGACACTAGTCCTGTTTTGTTTAGTGTGTTGTGCTCGCCTTAAGTTTTCTTGTGTCAAGCACTCATTTCCTGATATTATCTGTCTTTGTCTTTGTATGAGCACCGTCTGGGCCAAACTTGAGTCGTGCATGCTCTCGCTATGTTGTGCTCGGCTCAAGGTTTCTTGGGTCGAGCACTCGTTTCCTGTCATTGTCCGTCTTTGTCTTTGTATGAACGCCATCTAGGTCAAACTTGAGCCATGCATGCTCTCACTTGACGTGGGCACGTAGGGTCCGGGTTTGCTCAGGATGTGTGCCCTCGTCCTGGTGTTTGTTTTGTCCACGGCATGCTGTTTTATTCTTTACGCCTTCGATTTCGATTTCAGTTGGCGCTGGGATGGAACATGCATGTCATGCGCTGTAATGTTTTGTTTCATGTGAACACGCGGTTAATCAGTTCTCTCATTTGCTGTGTGTTCTAGTCCTGTTTTCTCTTGAGCATATGGCTTGAATTGTCTCCTGTCTATTCCCTTGTCCCACCCCCCTTGCTAACCCATTATTAGTTTATCCTGCTCTGTGTCTGTTTACTAAGTATTTTTCCTTTATAGTCTCCTCATGTCTGCTGTCCTGTGCCAGTTTGTTGTCATACATACTTTGTTCCTGTCAAGTTTTCAGTCATGTCCTGTTTCCAAATCCCTCAGGTTGGTTTGTTTATTTGTTTTGTTAATGTTTTCACCTTCTGGGTTGTTTTGATACGTTTAATTTTATTTTTAGAATATAAACACATCATTTTACTTCAATTGAGTCTTCGCTCCTTTCCCTAACCACAACCGTGACCGTTTCTTTGTCAATGTTTTGAGTGTACACTACTGAAAATGGAAAGAAAGAGATGGGAACCGGTGAACATCTCTTAATAACTTTCTCAACAACAAACTAGCACATATCCGCAGGACTTAAAGGGTCACGAAACACCAAAACACATTTTTTGAGCTGTTGACAGTCGTATATGTGTCCCACACTGCTAAAAACAATATTAGGACACCTATATTTCACTAAAAAGTGTAAATTGGTTGTTTTTGCGTTATTTCAAGCAAATTTGTACTTCCTGTTTGAAACGAATTTTTGAAGCTGCGTCACGGCCATGACATAATAGCGTGTATTCCAGCGTGCAGACTGGGCGTCTGTGCCTGAGTGAGTCTTATTACGTCTTACAGTGTAATGCATTAATGCATGAGTAAGGCTTGGGTCAAACCAATCAGCGCGCTCTATTGTGCAACTTCATTAATATTCATTATTGTCACCGTGTTTACACTTTTTTCAATTCAATTCAGCTTTATTTGTATAGCGCTTTTACAATGTAGATTGTGTCAAAGCAGCTTCACATAAATGGTGATAGTAACTGGAACAGTGTGGTGTCAGTGTGGTGTTTACACCACAAAGACGCCACGTTGTGTTGGCAAAACAAGCGTGAAGTGTTGCTTTTATAGTTTGCTGCTGTTAAGTTTCGTTTTCATTTTCTCTCTGTGAGAGCTTATCTGGATCACGTGTGGATTAACAGTGTACGCGACGCGCAACAACAATAACTTACGTGTCTAAGGAGGATTATTGTTTACCTGAGAGCTGTTCTCATCTGCAAACGCTGAAATCTGGATTTGCTTGTAGTATTCTCTTCATAAAGACGCGGCTCTAGTTGCTGGTGATTGTTCTGTCTCTACAGATTTGGTAAGTGAGCGACCAGTGCTTTTTGTTTATTCAGTTTGTTCGTATCGAATTAAGTTAACTATTGCACTGAGTGCAGAAATGTTAGCACCGCATTTTGTGACCGGAATAACACACGCTGCTTTCTGACGCTACCTGCCGTGTGCATCTAAGTTTCCGGGAAATGCAGAGTTTTTTTTTCTCTCATTCGCCGTGCGGTATCAAACATTGCATGAAAAATACACGCTTGCAGCAGTTCCTCGAATCAAATATCTCGTTTGTCGCGAGAGGCATGAATGAATTCCCTGAATGAAAGAGCCAAACTGCAGTTAAAGTCCAACATTTAATAATTTGGCAAATAATTCGACTACAGATGTCTATGTAGGTTAAACACCATCACTTTCTCCTGTCTGTGTGGGTGTGTATTTTGACTCTGAAACTCGCGCGTGCACAAATAGACACTCCCACACCATCCCACTTTAGTTCCTCCGACACTCCCCCCTAAACAGAGCTGGACACGCCCACTTTTCTGACTTTTTCCAAAGTAGAGGTGTGAAAACACCCTGCTGAAACGAGGGGGTTTCATGGCCCTTTAAGGCTTGATAAACATCTCCTTGCCCTTCACCTCACTCTGCTTGTGCTTCATATCATTACCACATGCAGTTACATTGTTTGAGCATCCAGGAACAGGAATAGACCAGCTGATGACTCAGAAATCAAAGCCGGCACTAACATGCAATTCATACCTGACCAGCAATGCTAGATTTTTCAGCACGGTCACTTGTATGTGTTGTGTTTTACATACTGATCTCAAACACAATGTGCATTTTCAGCCCTAGCTTAGCAAGCAAGCCTTCTTTGGTCAAACAGTTTCACCAGAAAGAACATTCAGCTTGACAGGCTGTGCTATGTTGGTAAAATGGTATGGTTAAAGCAAACCCAGTTCACATTATACTAAACCTGCACTAAACCAACATGAGGTGTGTTTCCCAATTCCAACTTAGCTACAATCACAAATTCTATTAATACCAACAGCACATTTTCATTTTCAATTATCTATAACTTACCTGTATCTGAAAGGTGCCACAGCTGCCATATTGACCTTTGGTGTCTGTTTGGTTTTGAGCAGCTCGACACTAGAGGTCTCCTGTTTCAGCATTGCAGTCTCAGGTGGTGGTCTCTGTGGGATCTCAGGGCTCAAGTCATCTGGCGTGCACATTTCCTCATCTGAGAAGCTACTGGAGGCACTGTTTTGCAGGGACACTCGCTCTCTGCGGACTTTAAGGTGACTCATTTCTAGGTTAGCAGCTGCTGGGCCAGGCCTCAAGTTTTTGTTACTAAATCTAAATGAAGGGATTCCAGTCTTGCTTTGACCACTTCCAGAAGCAATGCTCTCCTCATGGCACTTGAGTTGTTCTGAGATCACACTCCTGAGATTACCATTGTCTATTTGTCCTGGCTGAGAACGAAAGATCCCACTCTGGAAATTCTTGTTGCCGTTGGACCGAAGGTCAAGCAAACTCTCTGTCTTAGACCCATCCAGTGTGCCCCTAGAAAATGAAGACTCTTTACGCCTAATTTGTGGACTGCTGTGGGCTGATCTAGAGTCTTGGGAGTGTGTTTGAGAACTAGTGGAAGAACGTTGACTGGGTGGACTGCCTCTTAGTAAGAGATGCTGATTTCTGAGGGTACTGTCCCTTAGTAAATCTCTGGAAGAGATGGGTGTAGGACTGCTACTACAGGTGGTTCTGTTGGGGATGTGTGTAGATGGTCTAGGAAGGCTACTGCTGTTGCTTTTAGGTTCAGGTTTTGGGGAGGGGAGTCTGGTCCTGTGCAGGGGGATGCCTGAGCCCGGCTGGGCTCGTGGAAGACTCTTTACATTCACTCCCCCACTCATGGTGGCACCAGATCAGATGCTGAGGGGAAAAAGAGAATAAATACCATGAGGGCATGAACATCTCTGGCAAATCAGAATGAGAAATGTATTTTACAGTTGGTTTTTATTTATTTTAAGGACCTTTTTTTTACATGCCATTCCACACAGCTTTGGTCTACAAGGTAATTCCTATTCCAAGTTCCGAGTTTTTAATATTAAATACTCCTTAAAATTATGTCTGATGTACAGTATAATGGAAATTTTGTGGAGCCATATATGAGTTACAATGGTTTGTTGTGTTAATTCAAACAATCATTTGTAGCTACATAAAGCAAGTTATTGTATGAGCTTTCACAAAGAGAGAGAGAGAGAAGGAGAGAAGAGAGATCACAAGTAAAACTCATTTAAATTCTAAATCTCTTTCTTTGATAAATACAAAAAGGGTGAAGATCTTTAACTTTTCTAATTAGACTGCTAAATTGTAGTACAAATCAGAGCTTTAAGTATAGCCCACAGCAGGGTTTCTCAGCAGGGGGTTTACAGACTCCTGTGGGTTGATGATGGAACTGCGGGAGGTTCTTGAGATTGTAATATAAATACCAAAGCAGAACTGAATGGGGACGACAGTTCCAAAGATTCAAAAGCCTGAATTTGAAATGTGAAAATTTTGGATTTTGAAATAAATCCCATACATACAGTATTTGCTTGGTCATGATTACTCTATTTGTTTATTTAATGTGCAAGTAGCTATGTTAACCACCTTAAATGACCTGGGTGAGGCCTTAATGTGTTGTCTTCCTTTTTATTATCTTTAAAATCTCAGAAATGTGACTAAAAACATAATAAAAATTAGGAAAAGTCTGGAAATCTCTGGACTAAGTTTGCCAACAATAGCCCCTTTCACACATACAGACCTTTCCGGAAAATTGCCGGCAATTTTCCGGAAAGGTTGTATGTGTGAACAGGTCCTTTTTGAAAATACCGGTAAATTCGTTCTGGCTATTTTCCGGAAAGAGAAGTTGTAACATTACCGGCAATTTGCCGGAATGCTGCGCTGTGTGAATGGAGAAGGAAGATTACCGTAATAAGCGCGTGCACGTCTAGAACGTGCTGACGTGAGACGTCTGCTTTAGCCAATCACAACAGTCAGACGCATTTACGTCCGCGTGGTTTGTGAGAATAAAAACCTTTGAATATTTTTCCAGACACATTTAGCTGCTAGAAGTTAGTCAGATCACGTTTATATGTTCTTCTTAATGCCAACTGTGTAAATAATCATCGATGAGATGCTTATGATAAGCCGTTGTTTGTTTACCTTCAAGCTTTGCGTGTGCTTGTGAAACAGCCTGTGAGCGCCTGCACACGCACATATTATAAACATCTCGACATGAGAAAGTGATCCTGTGAAAGTTGTTCACAATATTGATCATCCACAGAGTTTGTAATTTAGTCAAATGTTTACAAATACAAGCGCAGCCGTTTAAAGCTCATTTGTGGTGAATGATGTCAAAATTTACCGGTATTTTGGAATGGATGTGTGAATGCTCTTTTCCGGAAAATTTCCGCAACGTGCTCGCCTGTGTGAACAGCGCTTTTTTGAATATACCGGTAAAGTCGTTCCGGAAATTTTCCGGATATTTACCGGTATCAATGTGTGAAAGGGGCTAATGAGAGAGAGAGTGAAATTAAGAATCCATAGAAGCTCAGATAGACTAACTTTGTATACAGCACTCACAAATACACAGTAAAGTCCCACCTGTTGCATTTAAACACAAACAACATGGGCTTTTTTTTACAAAATCTGGGAAAAGCTCCTCAAGAGCTTCTCTAAGCAAAATCCTGCCAAAAGAAAGGATTTGGCACACGTGGATAAAAGTCTTGTGGAAGAATCCAGGAGAAAGGACAGTCGTTATTTGAAATACTTGCTTTAGAATCAGAACGGGTGATTATATCAATCTCATTTTGTTAAGCCAAAAATATAAACTCTTCCCAAATACTGTAAAGCTCCATCTGGTCACTAAAATAAATCTACCAGCAATAGCAATGGAGAGATTCACTGTGGTTTAGTCAAAGACCTTTAAACCCCTGCCAGTTCAGTTAGTCTGGCAGATATATTTGTCATTCGGTGGCCAAATGTCCTGAAGGCTTTCATCCCAGCCCACAGACTGGCCAGGATGGCCCAAAACCCTCGCTGTTTACTAACAGTCCCATGGCAACTATTGACCTTCAAATGTACAGGCAAAACTCAATCCATCAAATTCAGGGCCCAGCAAACAACAGACACAACTGGTCTCTGATGCATCAGAATGAGAGAAAGTGTTACAATTCAGACCCGGTGGGAGACCCTATGAGTGGTGGGATGCAAGCCGAGCTGACTGTGGTCTGAACTCAAGCCACAAACCAATCTTACGCTGACGAGGGGATGTAAAACAATAGCTCTGCTCTAAAAGGCTTACACATTTTCAACTGTTAAGCATAAAACTTGAGGCTGTTCAGACATCCCAGAGAGATCTGATGGGAGTGTGAAAAAACAAACAAGTAAATGGACTACACCAACAGTATACATTACCTCTGACAATAAGTGTTATCTGGTTTTATAACAGTGCACTCTTCAAGGTATCTTATGAGTGTTTTATCTGATTTGATTACATTTTTTTAAGTAAATTGCAAAGTTGCAATCTAAACAACTGCATTCTTGCGTAAAAAAGCCCCAAAGTACATTATGTTGTCCAACAGCTGCAATATTTGTCAAGCTGTAGTAAGTTTATTAATCTGCTGTCACTCTATGTGGGTGGATTAATACGCAAGAGTGAAGAGGCTGTACAAATGCTAATAATGCAGAATATCACATGGCTTTCAGATTCGAGAACATGACAGAACTGTTGTATATATAGGTAGCAGCATCTTTATTTACAAGAGTAGTAAGTCAGGCAACGCTCAGTCACATGAGCAAACAGGTACATACAGAACAGTCCAAAAGTGTAGTCGAGTCATGGGCAAAGAGATCGGTCCAGGCTGCTAACAGAAAAAATCTAAAATCAATTATATATATATATATATATATATATATATATATATATATATATATATATATATATATATATATATATATATACATACAACAGTTCGGTCTGGTTCTCGAATCTGATTAGCAAATAGCCGTGATATATTTAAGTAATATCAGCACCCGTACAGCCTCTTTACCCTTTGTGTATTACTCCACCCACATACAGCCAGCAACAAGCAGACACTACAGTTTTACAAATATTACTGCTGTTAGACAACAAAATATACTTTTGAGGCTTTGTTAGTCGATGTGTAGTTGTTTAAATGTAGTTGTTTAGATTGCAACTATGCAGTTTATTTGCAAGAATTGTGCCTATTTTAAAATATTTACAATTTCTGAGAGAGCTCGTTGCCGACATTTGATGTTTTCTATCCACAAGATGGCGACAGAACCGCATAATAAGCCCTTACACTTAGAAGATATAACTGTCTGATTTCTAACTACAGCAGATCAAATCAATATTAAAGTGGTAAGCAATAACTGTCAACACTTCCGTTCTTCATGTGAGTATCCCGTATTTCAGAGCAGTCTCCCGCAAACATCCCGTTTTTATTTCTTCCTAAAAAACTCTCGTATTTCACCCACCCCCCTCTTTGGTATAGTCTGTAAACTAAACACCCCGAGTTGCCAACTTTGGTACAGTACCCGATCGAAGTGGCTGCCCAAAACCCGCTGCATTCTGTTCTTAACCTCACCCCCGAACACTCTCTCCCCCTGGTCTCTCCGGTTTTCAGAGACATGTTGGCAGGTTAGATGATCTCTCTCTTTTGTATGTTGTAGTGCTGTATTTATGCCGATTTGCTCGCATATCAGGAATGTGTGTTGTGTTGGCAGATTGAAATAAGCAAAGTCCGCACGTGTTTAGCATTTTTCCTTATCGCAAACACAACAGCAGTTTGGTAACGTTAGTGAATTTGTTGTATTTTCGGGGTCAATTATTGTGAAATCTTGATTGCAACAGAGAAATACTGTAGACTGTAACACTGTAAGAAGATATCTCTGTAGATGGATGGCATTTCATGTCACGTTCAGCCTTATAATCTTAAAGTGTGAGCAAAATCAACAGTTTTGACATCACTTTAGATATAGAGTCATTCAAACACAAGCTCTAAATTGACGTTTGTGAATTAGTAACGGCTTCTGCTGTTGTGACGTCAGCTGCAGATGTGAATGAATGGCGGAAGAAAGTAGTTCCTAATAAAAAAAGGGTGTTAGACTGTACGTGTTTGATTTTCTTATTTATATACACGATTGTGCCGTTGAACTGTAGTATAAACGCAACATCACACTCGTAGCAGTGCGATATGGCTGTATATCAGCACTGGTGGGACGCTAAGGCACTTGGCCTACGGCCTCATGCCAACGCACGCCTCCCACCAGTGCTGATATACAGCCATATCGCACTGCTACTAGTGTGATTTTGCTAACATATATATATATATATATATATATATATATATATATATATATATATATATATATATATATATATATATATATGTATGTATGTATGTATGTATGTATGCATGTATGTATGTATGTATGTATATATATATATATATATATATATATATATATATATATATATATATATATATATATATATATTACTTTATATATCAACGTCTTGCTGACAAATGGTTAGCCTAGTGGCTTGAAGAACTTCCATGTCATCCAATGATTATTGTTCTATAATCATCCTGTAGTTTTAGTTGTTAGTGTTGGTTTTACTTCCATTTTACTTCATTATTATTAAGGAACTGTAAAGTATTGTCAGAGCTAGAGTATTTTTTTATAAACATCACATCTGTCAAATTCCCCTAATTTTACCATTTAGTCACAAAAAAGGACATAATCCTACATATAGCCTGTCTGCAATGATTTAAAGTGTCTGGCAACACAGAGTTAAATAAAATAACCAAATCCTGATAAATATTGTCTGTAAACCAAAAAGTTTGACCAGCCCCAGGCTT